CGCCCCCCTCGCCCTTCCGCCGCGGAGACGGAGCCGGCTGGCGGCCCCTCTTCGGCCGCCGGCCTCCATGGGGTTCCCTTTGCTGCCTTTTTGGCGGCGTTTTTGGGTGAACGACCCCTCGTTCTCCGATGCCGGTCAAGAACCAGATGGCGGGGAGTACGATGAGGACGAGGAAGGCTTTTGGGGGCTCACGGGGAAAATCCTGCTTTGCTCTTTTATCAGCATTTTGATTATCTGTCTCGTCTGCCGTGCTTGTGCTCGAGTAAGATACTACTTTATGTTGTGTTTTGTGCTGACACCTGCCGGCCTTTAGCAGGACCTTATTGTAGGCCATATACAAAACGCCTACCTAAAAAGATTTCACAGCCTCAGAAGTTACTGTTGTGCCACTATAGTTATTATTTAATAACAACCTCATGGGTTGATGTCACCATCGGTTTCAACCCGTCTTTGATCTCGAGGCATAGGGGACTGGTTGTAGCTCTCCCAGTATCCTCCCCCATCCTGTCTTTACTAGTTAAAAATAATCGCTGTGCTGGGTGTCCTAAAAGGCAAAAACACAACGTGATCCAGGGGAGCGCGTGGTGCACTGTGAACTGCCGCGCGACTCAGGCTCTGCGAAGCCGCACATCTTGTTTTCCTGATTTTTGCTGCTGAAAATTTAAGTCGTCAATAAGTAGCTCCATTGTGGTCAGCGTTATTATGTGTTGGTATATAGCTACAAATATTCCAGAGATATCATAATGAGGATCCTGATGCTAAAATGATGCTAATGACGCCTACAAATAACGAGCGACATACTGAAATCCCTACTCATTCCTTACTCAGGGCGTTCCTAAGGTGCCGTGAGGATTAGGGACACGTAAATAATCTATTGCTTACCGAAAACAATAGTTCGATCACCAGCAACGCATAATGAATCGTGTTATAGGGAATTGCACGGGATTAACTTTGATAATTCAGGAGATGAGTTACAGATGGAGCCTCTTGCCATTTCGGTGCTACAGGTTTATCCCAAGACTGTGAGGAAAGAAACGTTTCTATCCAAAGGTGCCCTGTGTAAATAGAGTGGGATTTCTTAGGAACGTAGCCCCGTTGAAAATCTCAGCAGAAATGCCAGCGACTTGAGCGCTCCCCATGTGGCAACAGCGTTTTCCTCCGGTCCGTGCTGGGACGCAGCGGCAGGGCAGGGGTGCAGGATCTGGCCCTGCTCCCCGTGCTATCGCTGGGTAAGGATTAGTCAGCCTTACTTCCCAAGGCCATCGCAATTGCGTCTTTCATCAGCTCACTCGCGCTGTCAGAATTAGCGTTACATGCTATCAAGAAAGAAATATTTATACATTCTTCTAGATAACAAAATCTGTACAATGTGTCTTTTCCCGAAACAGATTCTCCGAAAAAGCCACGAGAAAAGCTTATCTTCTGACAAAAGGGCTAGCGATTCAAAAGGTAAATATGAGTTTCATAAGGTCATGCATAGGGTTCAAAAACACGGCGCAGAAAATGCCTGAGGCCCCTGTGAGAGCGCAGGAGGAGATGCAGAACTGCAGAGAGGGCAGAGGAGACAACCGGGGCACCAGGAGCGCAAGGAGAGCTCAGTCCGACGTTGGTCTTTTCCCCTTGCTCTCTCCCTCCCCTTGAACAGTCCCTTTCCTGGCAGTCTGGTGAATTGTCCACAACTTATTTTGAGTAACACGGTACGAGAGGACAGCAGACGAGTGGGGCCACAGCCTGTGGGCTCCAGCTTGGACATGCTCTGCATGCATGGCAATGACTAACGGTTAAGCAGAGGGTGTCTCTTCCTTCATAACCCTTGCCCTTCCCATGCCCCAATGAGAGCCTACTTTGCTGTATCTTGGTTGCAAGAACTTTTTTTCAGACGGGAGGAACCACAGAGGGTCCAAGCTTTACAGAAAAGGAGTGGCTTCAGCTCAACTTGATGGGTTTTGAGAGGTTTCTAGTTGGAAAGGGTGGAGTGTCATACCCGTTGTGGCCCCATGCCAAAGAGCACAGGCCGCATAGGCAAGCTGTGTATACTGATGGTGGTAACAGTGGTAATTTTAAGGAATGGGGCAAGTTGAACAAAGTTTGGTTGGATTCACGTAGCCTTTCACTTGTTACCGTGTCATTACGGCCTAGTCGTGATTCACTGCATGATACTATATCCTCTTTGGATTGTGCATAGCGTCCCCCACCCTGCCTGGGCATTAATGCGCCTGGGCCCTGAGAGCACTAACTGCTGTGACCAGCCTCATGCAGGGCCCCCACCCACATACCCGCCGCCCATTGGCCCAAGAGCTGTTTTTAAGCTGAGGCCTCAGCCTTGACCCTCGCGTGAGCTACAGTGGGTGGATGGCACACTTGCTCTTGTAGCTCCTGGCCTTGCCAGCGTGACATCCTGGCTTGAATTTGGACCTGTCCCTGTGATTGCGGACTTGCCTGGTGATCTGGACTGTGGCTGTCCCTGGTTAGCGTCACCAGACCTGCTCTGCTCCTCCTAATTCGGTCCTGTGGGACGGCACGGCTTGTTGGTGAGGTCTCTGCCCCGCCTGCCTTGCTGTCACCTTTGGCTTTTGGCTTGCTGCTGTGGTGCACCCCTGTTCTTGCTGCTCCCTAACTTGCTCAGGCTGTTGTATGTGCACTGTGGAGCCTGACTCTCCACCTGTGCAGGACCTTGCCGCCAGGACTTGCCCTGTGGCTCAAGGCTGACCTCCAAACCTTGCAGGACATTATGGCCAGCCTACAGAGGGAGGTCACAGCCCCCACAGAAGTCCGCTGTGGACTTCTGTAACACCCCCTGCAACCATATCCCCTGAACCCTTCAGTGGGGATTTAGGAGAGAGTACAAGGCTTTGAATTTAAATATAGTTCCTGTGTCACCGGGTGGAGGCCCAAAATGAGGCTGGTCAGGATGATCAGAGCCTGTTGGTGTACGCTGGGCACTGACATGATGTTTGACCGGATAACTCAGCAGCCTCCGAATCCGTGTGGGATGCAGCATGAGTAATGAAGCAAGCTATAATTTTGCTCTAAACTAGGTCCCTCCTTCCTGTTTTGAAAGAATTAATCAACAGGAGGTTTGGACAGTCTGTCAGTTCTTTACAGAGCTTTGAAGGATATAAGCTACAGGCCAAATTTGTCTGCTAGTGGAGTTATTGCAGTGCTAGAAGCAGGGAATTCTCATGATGGTTTGTCTTCCAGGAGAAACTCATGCGATGTGATTCATTTTGAGGGGGACGGAGACTCCTTGTTTCCCAAGGACTGGAATAGGTGAAACCTCAAAGACCATAGTTATTTGGAGAACCTGAATCTAGTCGGAAGGGGACACAGGGCCCATTTTTGTCTCGCTTCCCAGCCTTGCCCTTTTGGGGGGTCTTTGCTGCAGTCTCACAAGTGCTTTATTAGAGACGATGCGGGGACTGTACCTCCCTGGATGTGTCTGCACCTCAGGCAAGCCTGTGCATGGTCTTTCCCACCAGAAGCTGCTGTGGGTGGGAGAGGAGGTGTATTCCTGCGTGCCTCCAGGCCTGAATATTGCAGAGCGTATGCTTTCCATGGTGTGCCCCCAAGATACAACCATTGCAGGATGACTAATTTTTATGTGCCAAAACAAGCAGAATCCCTGCCGAAGGCTCCCTTTGTTCTCAAAAACAAGGGCCTGGCCTTTAGAGAGAGACTTAGTTGGAGGTGACTAAGACTGCGTCACAAGAAGCCGCTGCCCTAACTGCGGAAGGGGCAGCTTAGGAGTGGATGGTGGGGGAGGCTCCTCAGGGAGGTGCTGACAAATGGCTTTAGAGCCGTATGGGTGAGGTCTTTATTAATGGCTTCCTCTGAGGACTGCCAGTTTTCTTTTCCTCAGCCTTCCTCCCCTAGATTTTCAAAGGTGTTAGTGTTGAAGATGTGGCTCCCAGGAAGCGAAGCCAAAGGCTGATTACAGCAGAGTAGTGATTACTGTCTCTGATGTTAGCTCCTAGGAACCCCCTCTGCAGGTGTTACAGCAGGTTCAGCGCCTGGCTCTCCCGCAATAAAATGTTTAATGGGACAAAGAAAAAGCGTATCCAACAGCCCTGTGACTCTGCCCTTCATTCTGGGGCGACTGCAGCTGGGTACTCCCAGGACAAAACGCAAGAGAGAGAGCTCCTAAAGCTCAGCCGGGAGAGCACCTGTCGCCCTTACTCCTTGGACGTGGACAGCATGGACGAAAATATCTGGGCATCTGTATGGAAGGAGAACGAGGCAGAGACTATCCCCCCTGCAGCAAGATGTAGGCAGAGACGAGCACAAGAGCAAAGAGACGCAGGGAGCTACTGGATCAGGGACCAGCCCTGCCCTCATTGTAAAGCTGAGAGGACCAGGCAATGGCTGTCCCAGCACTTCTTTAAACCTGTCTCACCTCCCCCCGGGACAGACACTTCTTTAGAAGAGGACTTCTACCAAGGAATCAATCCGTGACTTGCTTTCATGAGAATTTTATTGCAGCCTTATTTTGACTTGAGGCCCTGCAAAGGCTGGCTGGATCTGTATGAAACCCCAGCAACTGAGGATCGGGAGGGGACACACTCTATTTCAATAAAAACAAATTTAAACCATCTGACTTCTGCCTAGAAGTGCGTAATTTATACATAAGAGTGTATTTATAGCATTCTGTAGGCACAGTCTATTAAAGACAGTTTGTTCTGAAGCAGGCAGGACCCCAGAGCTCATCCTTCGACACAGACACTCAAATTAATCGAGCATTTTAGCCAGTGTGAGATTTTTCTGCTGGCTGCCTCTTTGTAACAAGGAGTGGGTTATTAGAAAACTGTAGCAGGAGAAATATTAGCACACGAAAATCCCTGGCCAAGAGTTTACGGGTAGAGCTCTTCTGCACCCTGGTGAGAGTTAGAACGTCCTTCAGTTTGACTCTTATTTTCTTCTCCCTAGAAAAATCTTTACTGCAACACCAAGGAGCTTTGTGGGCAAAGCTCTGAAAGCAGCTCCTCTGTTTCAATTTTGAATGCGTGAGTGGAAAATATTTTGAGGTGAGATCAGCCTCTTATCTGTTTCAAAGTAATCTGTTGATTACTTTGAAAGCTTTGATACACGTGTGAATTCAGTCACATGGAATTCAGATGTTTTATCCAAATAAGGGCTTCCTAACTAGTCCCATATAAATTCACCTTTGCTAGATTGATCTGCTGTTTCCATCAAACATGAAGCTGATTTTGGTCTTCAGTGCCCTCTTCGGGGCTTCCTTGTGCCTGGAAACATTTGTTGGGTGAGTTATACTTCTGTAAAAGACCTTTCATTTCAAGGCCACACTTTTCAGTTACTCCTTTTCTCGTTATCTTCACTTTACAAAATCTGTTTGGGGTGTGTTCTTTTCTTTTCATAACTAACTTGTCTCCAAAATATGTTAACTTGCCTCCTTTGTGCATTTCAAATCACTAGGCGGTAAGGGGAATCTGGCAATGCAGTTCCACCAAAGAGTATCGTAGTCCTAATACTGCATTAAGGCATACAATGTGATTAAGCCACTAGGAGTTTAGTGGCTTTGACACTCAAGATTTGAATGAATCCTCCTCTTTAGCTTGACCTTTTTGTTTGTTTGTTTGTTTGTTTGTTTTTAAGGCGCTGAGTCTAGCTGCAGAGTTAAATTCGTCCTAAATTCATGTCCACCCAAGGCTTTTTTTCAGCTTCTGGTAGAACTGAGCAGCCCCAAAAGCCTCGATCTGGATCTGAACCTCACTGCAAAGCTTGACTGTTCAGCCTAACAAACAGATCTGCTTCAGCAAATACTGGAGCTAGAAGATCACAACCTGGCTTTATATCTGAACAAGCCCAGGAGTCAGTGTTGAGATTCGGGGTTTAAATTCTTTCTCACAGACCTGTGAATGGATCACACTGGTGCTTTTTGCCATGGCGTTGATCCTAGACTGTACTTGCAGTTGATTAATGAGAGTGGCTCCCAAGTTCCCTTCTGAATCCTAACCGGTTCCCCAGAATAGGATCTACTCTCCCATGACCGTTGTGTACGTTTGTTGTTCCTAGGTTCTTTTGCTATTTCATAGAAGCGTTGGTTGGAAGGAACCTCCGGAGCTCTCTAGTCCAATCTCCTGCTCAGAGCGGGACGTGGAGCTGTTGCCCCTTGTTGTTATCATCTGCCCCGACCGGGAAGAGTTTGCCTCTGTCATTTCTGTAACTCCCCTTCAAGTAATTGTAGGTTGCAATTAGATCACCCTGCCCTTTCCCTCCTCTTCACTAGCCTGAACAAGCCCAGATTCATCAACCTCTCCGCACAGTACTGTTTCCTTGCACCCATTTTACCAAGCAGCCTGGGTCACCCTGTGTTTGGATGGGATATACCTGTCTTCAGAGATCTAAAAAGTACATTGTCTAGTCTAAGTTATTCATTGAGGTTACCTCCGTAACCAGTGGAAGCAGGTCCTTTCAGAAGGTGATTTATTCTACTCGTCCGTCTGCAATGGTACAAGCTACCCTCTGATGGTATCCGCTTCTGGTAACAGAGGGAAGTTAGTCAACAGTCTTTGCCTAAACAACTAAAGAAAGGTGACATGAATGCCGTATTTAGCATCTGCTCTACTTTGTTATATAATGCTCCCCAAATGTTTGAGCATTTGCAAACTCAACCAGAATTTTTTTTTGCAAGTTGTCGACAAAAATAATAAACAGGTGCAAGACCAATCCTTGCAACCAGTTAAAAACTCAGCCACTTGATGACCTCTTGTTTCCAGCGAAATCTTAGGAACTGCCATTTAACTAGTTATTAACCTAAGGCACATGTAACGGGTTGGATCTACAGGTTGTTAGTTGAACTCTTTGGTGGCGCTAAGTCAGTTGCATTAGAGAAGTCTATGCTCATTGTATCAATACAAGTGACCGTGCTCCAAATCCATAACCTCAATAACAAGGCAGTTCAACAAGATCCTTTCTCAAGACCGTTTCTCAAGGCTTATTGATTTACTGCAGACACCAGGTTCTCCGAATCAAGGCAAGCAATGAGGAACAGATTAAAAAAATACAGCTTTTGGAAACGCTGGAACATCTTCAGGTACGTTATAACCACGGCGGCTTTTGTTAACGCTTCAGACTACGGGTTCATCAGGAGTAGGACTTTGCATCATGTTGGGAAGCTCTCACCATAATGTGGCAGCTGCCATAAATAAATACAAGTTCCAGCAGCAGCCTAGCAGTCAGGAGTGCCTGCATTCAAATTCTCTCTCAGCTGAGTTTACAATCATGTTTGAACTGATCTGCTCTAAACCTTAGTATCAAAAAACTTGTTTTTAAAATGGGAGTGCTAATATTTCTGTGCCTGTCTCCAAGAGTGGTGGGAGCAATTTATTAGAATCTATACCATATTGAAACAGGAAAGCACACTATAAAATTCCAGGTATTAGAGTTCTTATTGCCATTGCTGAGAATTTTTATTATAATTTTCTTTAAAAATATTGATTTGAAAAATACATAAATAGCAATTTAAAAAGCCATACCAACGCAGAAATAAAAGTAGTGTTTCATGTTACCTAATAAAGTAATATGGAGCTTCTCTTGAAACTATAACTGGTAAAAAGGAGACCAGTAAAATAATCATAATAGAAGACTAAAATCTCCCCTTGCTTAGACAACTGAAGCTCTGAAGTCAGTGCAAATGCTGATTTTAACCTCCCCCTGGATCTTTTTTTCTTTCCCAAGTTGATCACATTAACTGGTATGCGGTGAGGCCAAGCTGAAGAGTGGAACGTGCTGTAAGCACGTCCGGCATGATGCTGCTGGAGTTGTACAATTTGGGAGAAATCAGTTTTTCTAGAGCTTTAGGGAAGCTCTTTGCAGACCTCACCTTCCCAGAACAAACCCGCTTTCCTTTTTCTTTTCAGCTGGATTTCTGGTTAAACCCCTCAACCCCTGCCCTCCCTGTGGATGTCCGAATCCCCTTTAGCAGCCTCCAAGCCGTGAAAGTCTTCCTGGAGTCCAACAACATCGAGTACTCTATCCTGGTTGACGACCTGCAGGTAGACAATGCTATGGGCATACGGTTAGCTTCCGTATCCAGTGGAAACAAATAGCGGTTCATGACCTGGCCTCGTTCATTAATTCATGCACTGCTCTACATTCTGCTTTCCATGAGGACTGTTCTCCCTTCCCTTGCTTTTGCAGACTGTGGATTAAGTCACTGTTTCCCCAAAGATGGTCTGTGGACCACTGATGCCCTGGGAAGCTGTGGAGATCACTCTGCAGATGCTCTCAGAAACCATTCTGAACAGCGTCATAATTAAAATCATTGGTTCCGTAGGGCTATTCTGATAAGTGAAATTTTGTGTGATCTTTTGCCCTCAGAAGTTTGGGAATCACTACAGCAAGTTATCCATAATTCAGTAAGCTGTGCTATGAACAGCTCTGGATATCATAACCCGAAAGAACTGTTCAGCACAGTGTGAGGGCAAAACCCACACTCTTGGGCATATAGTATTGCTTCATGAGCAGTCATTCCAAGATGGCATCTAAAGATTAACTCAGCGGAAGCACTGCCCTTTTTTCAAGCTTTCCAACAGTTGTCTTGTTCATCTTAACAAGCGTTTAAAATGTAATGCTGACTATTTAAATACCAGTGACCTCGCCTTCTTCGCTGCAGCTAAGTCCAGCAGAAACATCAGTTTGCTCCATAGCTGTGTGAGGCTTGGCATTGCGTCCAGAACCAGTACGCAGCGGCACCATCTCAGTATTTGAGGCGAACATTGGGTGAGAGGTCTGCCAAGCAAGCAGGCTTTCCTCCACATTTGAATGGCTTGTTTTAGGTCTTGCTAGATGAAGAAAAGCAAGATATGGCCCGCAGTCAGCAACGGGAGCGCAGCAGCAACACTTTCAACTATGGAACTTACCATTCTTTAGCTTCAGTGAGTAACTTGGATCCAAATTTTGGGGAAGATGATTTTTGTTCTGGCTTTTTTTCATGCTGTCTTTGATCAAATCCTATACTAGGATCTAAAATTTATTTCTGGCTTCTTCTGGTACATGGTTTTGTTTTTAAATGGATTTTTTTTTGTGGTCAGTGCTGTCCCACTGCGGTGGGACAACACTCTCTCCCTCGCAGGGTGTTGCAACAGGCCAGTGTTGATCACACTTTTTCATAAACCTTTGGACAGAGCTCTATCAAAATACTTCCTTCTGACCCTCAGAGATGCTTCAGAAGAGAGTGAGAAATAAATAAATCTATAAATAGGGAAATACAGGAAAGCTGCAGCCATCAAGCAGAGCAGAAGATAAGGTATTTTTACCACCAGGAATTTCTTAAAGTGGATTTTGAACTTGTTCCTGGAATAAGTAAATCTTGAAGTTATGGCAGTACTTCCTCCTGCACCTGAGACGTTAGGAAATAGCGCTGACCACACTAACGTAGGGTGAGCTGGGGCTTTGGAGAGGCCGTACTAATGCAGGCAGAAGGGGATAAAGTG